CAGCACCACATTAATAAGATCATGGTGATTCAGAGGAAATTTTGTTTAAATCACTGAAAATCTTACATACACTAATTAGAGAATTCTAATTTATTAAGGTTTATTCTATTTGTTAAAGGCTTTCCCTTCTTCTTTCTTTGTGTGATGGTGTTCTGCTGTGTCTACATACCATAAACGCAAGCAGAGGTTTTAGCCTGGATCCTTGGTTTTCGTGAGACTTGGGAAACATGCTGATACAATTTGGAAAGACTCAGATAATGACTTGAGTACAAAGGACTGTAATGCCCAGGGAATGGCTTAATTTTTTTCACTTTTTAAACATCATACACACACACACACACACACAATTTTTTTTTTTTGTACCTGGGATTGAACTCGGGACCTTGCACTTGTGAGGCAGGTGGCCGAACCACTGAGCTAAATCCCCAGCCCTCAAACTGATATTTCTGAAGTCCTGAATACTAGTATTTGCGTGTATGCCTTCACTATAATAATAAATCACCAGTGGTAGAATGCTTGTTTACCAAACTGCCACTATCAAAATAAAACACCAAAGAAAAGAATCAATTACTAACATACTCAATCTGATTCCATAAATGTCCTAGTGAGATGGCCTCTCCTATTGAACCCGAGCCTGATGAGAGACAGTAGATGAAATGTACTGTTGTTGTAGGACTAGATTCCTCCAAAGGAATGAATCACACACTTAACTCGCCATGACATAACTTGATGAACTGAAGCTCAGAGATGTGCTGGTCAGGGAGAAGTGTTTCTGTTATGAATCATGACCGTGTCCCCAGCCTTTTATCTCTTAGCTTATTGTGTGACGTTAGCGCCAATCTTCACATGGGGCAGGGAAAAGTTAGGAAGGGGAGGAAATAAAATCAGGCCCAATTTGTGGTATCTGTGACATACACCTGCCTCCCTTTCTTATTTGCAGTAGGAAAATCATGAAAATGGATTAAAAAGCAATCCATAACAGTAGAATTAAGTGGGGGAAGTTGAAGAGAAAGGAATCTGACTTTTTACACTTTGTTATTATTTCGCTGTTTTATAGTAAGAAGCAGACTTTTAAAAATCATATTCTCTTGGCCAACTCACCTCCTTTAAATCATAGCTCAGACATCTCCTGATCCATCAGACCCCACCTCCTATTACCCTTTAAAAACTGTGACCTACTCTCTGTTCTCCCCATTCTCCATGGCTCTGACTACCTTCATTTGTACTTCATCTGGGAGGTTTACTGACCAAATGGACCCCTTTTGAGAGTGTAGGGCAACCCTGGGAACAAGGACCAGGACCAGGTCTATAATCTTTTCCCAAGCAAACCAGGATGCTGGCCGCCCTAACACCATGTGGTTGACTTGGGTGTTTTGCTTACTGGCCTCTGAAATGAAGCTCCCCTGGAGTGAGAGGGCAGAGCTTCTCATTTACTTGTGCCCTACTGTGTCCTAAGGCCCAGAGCAGTGCTTGTACAAAGGTGGTTCTTGAGATCCACTGAGTGGATCAATACATGAATGAAAGCCAAAAAAAAGAAAAAAATTTATATAAATATTTGGAAAAGGTATATATAAATGTGAAGGAATGTTCTAAACTATGACCATGCCAAGACTGACATTCCAGACCATGCCAAGCTTTGCTGTATCCAAGGGACTGTGTTGCGTGTTCTGCATACAACAAGAGGCTAAATATTTCCTGGTAATTCATGATCTGCTTTGAAATGTGGTGAATTTTTTTTTCTTTTTTCTTTTTTCTTTTTTTTGAGGTACCTGGGATCAAACTCAGGACCTTGTGCTTCTGAGGCAGGTGCAGTGATCAAATCCCCAGCCCGTGAAATGTGGTGAATTTTTAAGAGTAGAGCACCCTATTAAAATGAATGGCCAAAATTATGTTCCAAAGTCTCATACTAAGGCTATTTCTAGTACAGCCACCAGCAAGGCTGCTGTGCTGCTATTTTCCATCATCAGGATGGCTGAGTGGGAAATGACTGACCCTAAAGCAAGGACTATGCTTAGCTAGCTCTTCTGTCCCCTTCCTGCCCAGCTGTGGAACTGTTTTCACTGTTTAGTAGGCAAAGTTCTTGGCCTGATTTCATGTTCTTCCCAGCATTTTTCTTCCCTCAGATAGTACCAGTAACTCATGGTAAATCTGTTTCACTTAATTTGTGTGTGTGTGTGTGTGTGTGTGTGTGTGTGTGTCTGTGTGCCTGTGTTGTAACACCAACATGTATTTTCCAGTATATCAAGGGGAAATAGCTAAGTCTCATAACTTTCGGCGTTTTGGCTGCCAGAAAGCAGGATCAAATGTACATTCTTCTCTTGCTGTCATTCATTCTTCCCCTTTACTCTGGTGTGATTTTTTGTTTGTTTGCTTTTTTGAGACAGGGTCTCACTGTGTAGTTGAGACTGACCTGGAACTCACTATGTACCCCAGGCTGGTCTCAAACTCACAGCGATCCTCCTGCCGCAGCCTCCCAAGTGCTGGGATAACAGGCATGCACACTCTGGTGTGATTTAAAAGTTACCTTGGTTACCTCATAAAATAAAATGCTATGAAGCCAACTATTTTCTTTCTTCAAAGTCCAGGTGGAACTTATACTTATCCTAAAACATGATTTTAAATGACTTTATCATCAAATGCCTTTTAAAAACTCTACTCACCCAAAGGCAGCTCTTTATCAATAACAAAATGTATGCAATGATGTGTGGGAAAAATAATGTTTATAGAAAAATGTTAGGCTTCCTGGGTGGGGAGAGAGGAGCAAAAAAAAAAAAAAAAA